CAGGCTGAGCCACCGAGCCCGGCTTTCAATCTTTTTTTTTTTCCAAACCAGGATATATTGAGAGGACAGAAAAGCTCCCACAGTGGGAGGGAACCTGAAGGGGTTGCCTGATTTTCAACCTTTTAAAAGCATTTTATTAGGCCAGGCATGGTGCCTCACGCCTGTAATCCCAGCACTTTGGGAGGCCGAGGCCAGAGGACAGTCTGAGCCCAGGGGTTCAAGAACAGCCTGGACAACATGGCGAGACCTTGTTTCTATAATAAATCAAAAAATTAGCTGGGTATGGTGGCACATACCTGTCGTTCCAACTACTTGGAAGGCTGAGGTGGAAGAATTGCCTGAGCCCAGCAGGTCAAGGTTGTGGTGGCTGTGAGTGTGCTACTGCATTCCAGCCTGGGCAATAGAGTGAGACTCCAACTCAAAAACAGACAAACTATGTATTAATTGATGAGGTCCAAACAGACAGAATGAGTAAAAGAGATTTAGCCTGGATTTACTTTCTCACCCCACTGCCCTTGACCAACCTGCGTGCCCCTGCACTCCAGCCTGGGTGACAGAGTGAGACTCCAAGTCAAAAAAGAAATTTATTTTTGGAGGGAAGATGAGAGTTATGTCTTTCTCTTGTCCTCTCAAATCCTTGCAGAGCTTGTCTTGAGGGAAATGAGCTCCAGATTGGCCAATTATTATTAGAGCCATGGACCTAGCTCATTCCTAATATGAGTACTTACTCAATGGAGGCAGATGGGTGTGTCTACTGGGACCTGCCTAGTTCAGGAAGTGATACCCACAGGAAAATAAATGTCTTATGACCTAGACTAGCTTGAGTGGGCTGTGGGGTAAGGGGATAAGAGTCACATGAAGCCAGGCTCAGAGGCTCAGCCTGTAATCCTGCACCTTGGGAGGCTGAGGTGAGTGGATTGCCTGAGCCCGTGGGTTCGAGACCCACCTGGGCAACTTGGTGAGACCTCATCTCTACAATAAATCAAAAAATTAGCTGGGCGTGGTAGCGCGCGCCTGTAGTTCCAGCTACTTGGAAGGCTGAGGCAGAAGGATCGCCGGAGCCCAGCAGGTCGAGGCTGCGGTGGCCGGGAGCGGCCACTGCACTCCAGTCTGGGCAACAGATTGAGATTCCAACTCAAAAAAAAAAAAGAGTCACATGTTATGAAGTTGAGCCATTTGGGCAGCATATTTGCCTTTTTCCCGCTGAATTACCAGTTTGGGGACTGGAGGAAATGAGACAAAAATGCAAGACTGCCTCAGAGGGCTGACTGGCTTGTGGAAGAAAGCATTCAGTGTCCAGGCATCCTGCACTTTGAGGGCCTAGGAGGATTAAGCGACTGGCTGCTAGAAACATCCTGGCCTCTTGCCTATCAGAATTACTCATGAGAACCCCATTCTAAGCAGCTAGCAGATTCTTGTTCCTGCTGTGGTTTTTCTTTGGATAATAAGGCTGAGAGAGGAAAGCACCCATTGATGAAGGATTTTCAGAACCTCATTCCATGAGGTTTATTTCCTGTCAGTGGGATTTTTATTTACCCTCTTTATTTCCTGTCAGTGGGATTTTTTTTTTGACTCTTTAATTGAGCGATGATGTGCTTGTGTGTTCTTTGGAGGGTGGGGTTTTGATGGTGTTAAGCCATTTCTAGCATATCATGTAAATGAAGGGTCCTGTAGGATCAATGGTTGCATGCACAGAATGATAACATGTTCCATGGTAAGTTGATTCCTCACTTTTGGGGAAAGGTGACTTTAGCGCCCTCGGTATGTGCAGTATGATGTCATGTCCTTTCCGGGAGGGCAGGGAGCAACTCTGTTGATGTCAGATTGCCGCCAGTGACGCAAGATCGCCGCTGAGTTGACTTTGTGTCTTGCTCCTAAAGATGTAGAAATCCATGTTCCTTGCTGCTTGAAGCACAGCGTCAGAGGGAGGTACTCACGTGAGGGAGAAGAGAAGAAGCGGAGGGAAGCGGCAGAACGAGTGAGGGGGCTCAGCACCCCTTTAGCCACTGCATTTGGCAGCAGTCTGGTCTCTTAGCTGCACCCGTGGGCTGGTGTCTGGCCCTTCCCAGCTGAGGAGAAGCCTGGGTCCAGCTGTCAGCAGGTTCTGCCTGCCTGTGCCCTCTCGTTTCCTTCTGGATTCCTGCTGACTTGGTCTGTGGGCTCGTTCGGCCAACTTGCAGCTGACGTCCTCTTTTTCTTTTGTCTGTGTAGAAGATCATTGCTGTCTTCAAACCCAAGAATGAAGAGCCGTATGGGCAACTTAACCCTAAGTGGACCAAGTGGCTGCAGAAGCTGTGCTGTCCCTGCTGCTTTGGCCGTGACTGCCTTGTCCTCAACCAGGGCTATCTCTCAGAGGCTGGCGCCAGCCTGGTGGACCAAAAACTGGAACTCAATATTGTACCCCGTACAAAGGTCAGCGACCCATCTCTGGGGAGCCTTACTGGCTGCCAGAGTTTTCCTGAGGTCTGAGCCCTGCTACATGTTAGTAGGACCTTGGGTCCAGTGGAGACCATTTATGTCCTATGTTTGGGGTTTTCAACCTTTTTGGGTTGGCAGGGGCAGCATTAGGCTCATGATTTGATCATCTGATGACAGCTATCCTCAGAAGGACACAATTTTTGCACACTATCTCAGGAAATTCACAGACCTCTGGTGCACGTTTATGGGCTCCCTTGGTCTTTGGGTCCCAGGTAACCCCAGGCTGACTCGAACCCTAGCCGCCTTTGTGGCTCATGCTCTTGGACGTCTGAGTCATTCCAGGATTTTGATGTAGCCTAGAATGGACTGGCTGACTTCGGTGAAGCACTTAAGGCAAGGACTGGCAAGGAGGACTTTGTGTGGGCTGAGGGCTAGTGTAAAGGCCTGGCCCGAACCTCTACGGGGAATTGACATGGACTTTTTCCCCACTTATCTTTATGCTATGGAATTCTGGTGCTTGTCTGAACATTCCAAAATAGGGGTCCTGGGTCCAGAGAAATTCCCACATAGAGTGGGTTTATACGTTACATGTTTATATGTTATGGCCCTAGTTAAGGTCCTGATGAAAGGTCTGGACCATACCCCCAAGCCCTGCCCATGTACTTGAATACAGAGTTGATGCATACAATTTCAGAGAGTTTCCTGACACCAGCTTAAGAACCCCTGCACTACAGGGTGTTCCATGAAACCCTCCAAGCGTTATGAGGTGGGGGATCTGCTGGTTGGCAGGCAAACACATCAGGACACGTCATCCACTGCGCATGTGGCTACCTGGGGCTTAGTAATAACTGAAATGGAACTCTGATCAGATGTCCCAGGGCTGCTGAGTCATCCTTAAGAATCTGATGAAAGCTATGGATCCTGTTTCCAGAAATAGTGCATGTTTGCCATCATTGTTTTGCATATAATTTTAGGGGGATGGTTCAGAGACCAGTTATAGTCCATCCGTTGGCCTCCTAGGGACCCTTCCTAGCGGTCCTGGATTAAAAACCCCTCTTGTGATTTTCTTCACAAGTTTAGGTGGCTGACTCTATGGGCAAAGAGATTCATCAGCATATAGAAACTTCTCTTCAAACCTGGTTTCCCTCCCGCCCCCCCAGGGTATTTTAGAAGAAAATAGGATTATTATGTATTTTTAACTGTGTCTGCCCTTTTGACATTAAACTCCAAACAGCAAGCCAGGTTGTTTATAAGTTTGTAGAGCCGGGCTCGGTGGCTCACCCTGTAATCCCAGCACTTTGGGAGGCTGAGGTGAGTGGATTGCCTGAGCCTGCGGGTTCGAGACACCTGGGCAACTTGGTGAGACCTCATCTCTACAATAAAATCAAAAAAATTAGCCGGGTGTGGTAGCTCACACCTGTAGTTCCAGCTACTTGGAAGGCTGAGACAGAAAGATCGCCAGAGCCCAGCATGTCGAGGCTGTGGTGGCCGGGAGCAAGCCACTGCACTCCAGTCTGGGTGACCGAGTGAGACTCCAACTCAAAAAATAAAAAAGTTTGTAGAAGTCAGAGACCGCAGTCTTGAGGTTTCCTTCTCTCTTTCTCAGCATGTAGCAAAGTCCTGTATTTATAGTTAGTATCTGTTAAGTACCAGCTAAATCAGCGAATGAATATCAGGTCATGAGAAACAATACCAAAGGTCCCCCAACTTCAGGTCTATCCAGAAAATGCTTGACCAGGCTTGTGGTTCCCATTTCACATGTGACTCACTACCTGGCTTGTGTGGCTCATGCCTTCCCCTTATGCCCTAATTTTCTCTCTCTGTGCAGATGGCTGAACAACAGCCTTTGAACACTTTGTGTGATGACTAGTGCTCCCGAGTCTCCTGCCTGACCTGAGATCCTCCCACAAGGCCCCTCCTAGACTCTAGAAACTTTGAACAACTGCTGGCTCACCACTCAACAATCTTCCCCCTTCCTGGACAGATGCAAGGCGCTGCCCACTCTGCTGGCGCTTCTGGAGTGCAGTGCCTGAGGGGCAGCGGGCCTCTGCAGCATTTTATCTGTGTGACCCCTGGACAAGTTACTTACGGCCCCAGGCTTAGTTTCCTCACTGCAAAAATAGGGATATAAGTAGTTCCTAATTGCAGTGTTACTACCAAGATTAGATGGAACATCCACGTAAAGCTGTAGCCCAATGCCTGGCACATGTTAGCCTTTGGTATTTCTTTCTTTCCTTTTCTTTTTTTGAGTTGGAGTCTCGCTCTTGCTCAGGCTGGAGTGCAGTGGCACACTCACGGCCACCCCAGTGTCTACCTGCTGGGCTCCGGCAATCCTTCTGCCTCAGCCTTCCAAGTAGCTGGAACTACAAGTGCACGCTACCACAGCTAGCTAATTTTTGATTTATTGTAGAGATGGGGGTCTTGCCAAGTTGCCTGGGCTGGTCTCGAACCTGCGGGCTCAGGCAGTCTTCTCTCCTCAGCCTCCCAAAGTGCTGGGATGGCAGACTGAGCCACCGAGCCCGGCCGTCTGTGGTATTTCATGAGCTACTGACATCGTTAATGTCGCCCCATAGGCCCTTTCTTTCCCATTTCTGGTCTTCTTCTTTCCCCCTTAGAGAACCTAACTGAGTCCCGAGAGCCTTTGCATCAGAAAGTCAGCAACCATACAAAACACTTGTCTTCCATGGGAAATGACAGACCTTTGTAAATGTAACCTATGGCTACTGGAGACTAGTGAGAGAAGTCACTCCCCTTCTGCCTCTCCCACCCTTGTGACAGGATTCTGTCTAGTTGATCAGAACATCTATCACTATAGAAACAGGGCTCACATGGCGATAGTAAGGCTCTAATTCTCTCTCACTGCTGTGTCTGCTCTCTGTTTCTATGAGGTTTCAGGTTATGATGGTTTCATTAGTCATAGGGAAAAAATGGTTTATTGGGAAGAATGATCGAAAATCAATCTGATGGGAGGAAACAGGTGATTTATGGCTTGAGTTAGCCAGGGTTTTCACTGCGGAAACTGGCAAGGTAGCCTTGGGAAAGCTTTTTTCCTCATTCCTTTGCTGGAGTTTTCTGATCTGTAAGGCAGGGAGTGCGAGACCTCGTCTCGCCATGTTGCCCACGCTGGTCTCGAACCCATGGACTTGGGCAGTCCTCTCACCTCTGCTTCCCAAGGTGCTGGATTATAGGCATAAGCCACCATGTACAGCCTGGCCTATTTTTCTAACTCAGGAGGTGACTGTGTTCATCAGTGTAATTTATATTAGCTACTGTAACAACCCCTGAATCTCAGTGGTTTAATAAAATTGCAGTTTATTTCTTGATCACAGCTCAGATCCATGCCAGTCAGACAGCTCTCCCAGATCTCAGGTTACTCATGTGGTCATGGGGAACTGGGGCTCTTCCGCGGTGTGGCTCTGCCGTCTCAGAGCTTTTCTCTTCTAGCTACACAGACTGGGGAGTATCAGATTTTAGGTGCCAGTCCTGAAAGTGACATGCATACATTACTTTGTCAGCATTTCATTGGCCCAAACTAGTTATCTTCCTTGTCCTCGTTGCTAGGAAGGCTGAGAAACGTATTCTGTTTCTGGAAGAGGAACAGGACAGGACTGATGAGTATCTAAGCTATTTATTCTCTGCCACAGTGGTCGGTTCCTTACACTTGACTCTAACCTTGTTATATCTTCTCTCCTACTATAGGTAGTACACCTGGCCAGTGAGACTTTCAACTATAGTGCCATTGACCGAGTGAAGTCCAGGGGCAAGCAGCTTGCGCTAGAGAAAGTGCCAAAGGTCGGGCAGCGGTTTAACCGCATTGGGCTGCCACCAAAGGTATGTGGATGTGGCTTATCAGAGGTGATGAGTTATGGTGGCATAGTTACTCACGCAGCGAAGCAAGGTGCCTACAGACGCGAACTTGAGCACAGGAATAACCTGCTCTGAGGTTCCAAACTGTCTTCCCCATTCCTGTTGAGCCTAAGGTGTGGGGACGGATTCTCCAGAGTCGAGATCCAACGTTTCACGTGACTCCTCTGGTGTGTCTGTAGTTCGGATGGTGATCACAGTCCCACCCCTTTCTCCCGTCCTCGCAAGGAAATGAAGAACTACGGACCTTGAGCAGTTCCCTTTCTCTGCTATGAACTCCACAGGGCCTTAGTGGGTGTCTGGCTTACTCCGGGGGTCCTTGAACTTGGGCAGTAGAGAAACACCTTTGTCCCTCTCGGTTCCAGGTTGGCTCGTTCCAGCTCTTTGTTGAAGGCTACAAGGATGCAGACTTCTGGCTGCGGCGTTTTGAGGCCGAGCCGCTCCCTGAGAACACCAATCGGCAGCTGCTGCTGCAGTTTGAGCGCCTGGTGGTGCTGGATTACATCATCCGCAACACCGGTGAGCAGCGGCGGGCGGTCCTGGGCTCTGTGCCAGACCGTGCAGAGCGCAGGGAAGACCTGGAGGTCAGGATGAGTTTCTCCAAGGCAGGGGAGTCACCCGCGTTTGGGGAGGGTCTCAGACTACTTGGCCAGGTGAGCTTTGTCCTGACACTGCATGTGTCATTACCAGAGGTGGCGCGGCCTGGAGGCAGTACTGACGTTTTACCCTGGGCTCTTTTCTTGTCCCAGATGTACGATACCTCACTCTTCCAAAGCACTGTGAAGAGTACTCTCATCCTTGGTCCCTAGTCATTCTCGCAGTGTCAAGACCTATCAAGGACAGTCCTGACTGTCTAACTTCTTGAGGTGGATGCTTAGATCACTGGTATTTACAAAAGGTTTTCTAGTGCAATTTTAACTCAGCTAACCTGGCAAAATCTACATGCATCAAGGACAAAAGTCTTTACATTCATGTTTTATAGGAGCTATGTTTTGTCCAATTTTAAGATTATGGTAAAATGTACATAACATAAAATTTACTCCCTTAACCACTTTTGAGTGGTGGTAAATGCATTCACATCGCCACCATCCACCTCCAGGACTCCTGATCTTATAACACGGAAGCTCTGTGCTCGGTAAACCCTGACTCTCCACTGCCTCTTCCCCAGGCCTTGGCAACCACCATTCGGCTCTCTGTGTCTGTGCTGTTGACTATGCTAAGTGTTTGAAATCAGTGGAATTATACAGTGTTAGCTTTTTGTGACTCTTCTCATTTCACTTAGCATTACATCTTCAAGGTGCATCCACTCTTTAGCATCTATCAGAATTTCCTTCCTTTTTAAGAAGGAATAATGTTCCATTTTGTGTGTATACTGCCTTTTGCCCATCCATTTATCTGTTCATCTATCAGTGAACACTGGGGTTGTGTCCACATTTAACTATTGTGAATCATGCTGCTGTGAACATGCATTTACAGATATCTCTTCAGGACCCTGTTCTCAGTGTATTGTGTATGTGTGTTATAGTATATAGTGTATATATATATATATGTGTGTGTGTGTGTGTATACATAGATATATATACATACACACATATATATACTATATACACACACATATATAATGTATATGTGTGTTTGTGTGTGTACATATGTATGTATATGTGTGTTACTGTGTATAGTATATATAGTATATAGTGCATATCTATACATACACACACATATATATACTATATAATATTTATGTGTGTTTGTGTGTGTGTGTGTGTGTGTGTGTGTGTGTGTATGTAGAGTATATACTCAAAAGTGGAATTACTAGGCTGAGGTGAGAGAATTTACCTGAGCCCACGGGTTCGAGAGCAGTCTGGGCAACTTGGCAAGATCTCAGCTCTATCATAAATCAATAAAATTAGCTGGGTGTGATAGCACTCGCCTATAGTTCCGGCTACTTGGAAGGCTGAGGTGGAAGGATCGTCTGAGCCCACTGGGTTGACGCTGGGGTGGCCATGAGCATGCCACTGCACTCCAGCCTGGGCGACAGAGTAAGACTCCAACTCAAAAAAAAAGAAGAAGAAGAAGAAGTGGAATTACTAGATCATATGTGGTTATTCTATTTCTATTATTTATTTATTTATTTAGGGTCAGCGTCTCACTCTGTCACTCGGGCTGGAGTGCAGTGGCACACTCACAGCCACCACAGCCTTGACCTGCTAGGCTCAGGCGGTTCTTCCACCTCAGCCTTTCAAGTAGCTGGAACCACAGGTGTGTGCTACCATGGCTAATGTTTTTGATTTATCGTGGAGATTAGGTCTTGCCGAGTTGCCCAGGTTGGTCTCGAACCTTTGGGCTTAGGCAGTCCTCTCGCCTCCACCTGCCAAAGTGCTGAGATTACAGGCATGAGCCACTGTGCCCGGCCTCTATTTTTAATATTTTGAGGACTCACCATACTGTTTTCTACAGCAGCTGCACCAACTTACCTTCCCTCCAGCAGTTCACAAGGGCACTAATTTCTCCACATCCTCACCAACACTAAACGATTTTCTGTCTTTGATAGTAGCTATCCTGTGAGTATGAGATGGTATCTTGTAGTTTTGACTTGTATTTTCTTTTTTTTTTGAGTTGAAATCTCACTCTGTCGCCCAGACTGGAGTGCAGCGGTCGCTCCTGGCCACCGCAGCCTCGACCTGCTGGGCTCAAGATCCTTCCACCTCAGCCTTCCAGGTAGCTGGAACTACAGGCGCACGCTACCATGCCTGGCAAATTTTTTGATTTATTGTAGAGATGAGGTCTCGCCAAGTTGCCCAGGTGGGTCTTGAACCCGTGGGCTCAGGCAATCCACTCACCTCAGCCTCTCAAAGCACGGGATTACAGGCTGAGCCACCGAGCTTGGCTTTGACTTACATTTTCATGATGATTAGTGATATTGAGTGTCTTTTTGTATGTTTATTGGCCAATTATATACCCTCTTACGAGAAATGTCTATTCAAGACCTTTGTCCATTTTTGAATCAGTTTTTGTTGTTGTTGTGTTTTTTTTGTTTGTTTTTTGTTTTTTGTTTTGAGTTGGAGTCTCACTCTGCCGCCCAGACTGGAGTGCAGTGGCCGCTCCCAGCCACCACAGCCTCGACCTGCTGGGCTCTGGCTATTCTTCCACCTCAGCCTTCCAAGTAGCTGGAACTACAGGCGTGCACTACCACACCTGGCTAATTTTTTTGATTTATTGTGGAGATGAGGTCTCGCCAAATTGCTCAGGCGGGTCTCGAACCCGCAGGCTCAGGCAATTCACTCACCTCGGCTTCCCAAAGCACCGAATTACAGGCTGAGCCACCGAGCCAGGCTTGTTGTGGTGTTTTTGAAGTTCTCTGAATATTCTGGCTGTTAGTTCCTTATCAGATACGTAATTTGCAAATATTTTCTCCCATTCTGTTGCCTTTTTCTTTGTCGGTAGCATCTTTGGATGCACAATTTTTTTTTTTTTTTGAGTTGGTGTCTCACTCTGTCGCCCAGACTGGAGTGCAGTGGC